AAATTTAAAAAAATCTCTTCCTGATTACCTCGGGAAATTCATTATCTTTACAACGCATATCACATTTTATTTTTAAGATGATCCGTTAACGCCCTATGATGTTCACCGCAAAACAACTTTTTCTTAAGGCGCTTCGGAAGATTAACCGCCACAGGCTTATTTCTTAATATTTTTTAATAATTTTTCAATAAAATAAACTTACTCATTTCGCCGCAAAAAAAGATCAAACATGGCCCTTTTTTTGGCCTTTAAAACCTTACACAAAACACGCTACTATAGCATTTTAAATCAATTTAAACTGCGGCAAAAATCATTCATCATTAAGTAAAATTATTAATTCTATTTATGAGTGTTTGTCCAGTGAGCAATGCCAAGAAAACGCAGAGGGAGAGATATGAGCCATAATACAAGTAGATCTCGATACATGCGAAACAGAAGATCCGAAAGAATAGCGCAATTGCATCAAGAAGAGCCAGAAGATACACGAGCTGAACGCAATGAAGTCAGAGAAGAGAAGTCAGAAGATTAGAACAACGACAACCACGCCGTTTCACAGTCCAACGACGTTGTTGGAACATAGGTCGTAGTACAGTGATTGCTAGAAGAGAACGTTGCCATCAGTTGGCGAAACGGAGTTCGCCAGGGTTTGCTAGTTTCTATATAGATTTTTCGATCTATTGCAGCTATATAAAAACGGATTTTAATAAAATCTTTTTCTCGATTCAAGGGTTATTAAAAAAACTCCATGTTTTTAAAATCATGCTACAACAACGTTATAATTTTTTTTTCATTAATTCTATATCAATTTTTCGATCTGTCCTATGGCAGATATATGATAGAGTTATCCGATGTCGATCAAATTTTATCCAAAATTCAATAGTAGTTAGAAAACGGCATCTTGAAGAAGTCAAGTCGATCTGATCAAAAACAACGGCGTGAGAATTTTTTATTTCATTCTCTCGTATGGGAGCTATCTGATGTAGTCGGCCGATCCGGCCCGATTCGACTTACATATATACTGCGTGCAATAACTACATACCTTTGGGAAAGTTTCGGCAAGATATCTTTAAAACAGAGAGACTAGTTTGCAAGGAAACGGACAGACGGACAGACGTACAGACGTATTTCGATTGGCATTGTGATGATGATCAGGAATATACATATGTACTTTATGGGGTCTAAGGTGTCTCCTTCTCTGCGTTGCGAAATTCTGACTGAAATTACAATACCCTTTGCTCTGCAAGGGTATAAAAACAAACAAACATTATGTATGTATGTACAGTGGCTCCAAGCTTATTTCGTGCAAGAATAAAACAAAATTTTATATCGACACCGCAACCAAACTAGCAAAGCTATAAAAAAAAAATTTAAACGCAGAAAGTTAAGGAAACTCTTTTACTATCTAAAAAAACAACAAAAGTTTTTCCTAATTTAAAAAACAAAAGAATTTTTCATACAAAATCTAAAAAATAGGGCGATTCTAACGCACAAGTTTATTTCGTGCAAGCAGTTTAATATAAAATAACTCTACTAATTCTTAATTTTACGACTTTTTAACTCCCCTCTGTTTATTAAAGACTTTAAATCAATTTTACATGTATTTGTAAATTTTTCTAGTTGTTTTCATGGGTATTTTACCTCACCTTCCCAACAGGGAAATCTTAAGATCATTTTCGATGGAAAACTCCCATTTCGGAATTGCCAAGTCCAAAATTTCCCACAAATGCTCAATGAAATTAAAGTCTGGAGACTGAGTGGGGGTTTAAATCCCCTTGAGGCAGTTCCAGCTCAACCAAAGCTTACAATTGTTGCAATAGGCTTCGGGTCATTGTCTTGGTTGAATCTAAATTGATTCCATTTACCTAAGTTATCGACATTTTTAACCAAATTTTCCATGTAATTGGTTAAATATATCTTGGCATCCATGATACCGACAATAAAAACATAATTCCCGACGCCGGGCGCAGCCATATATGTTAAGCCCAAACAATGACATGGTCACCGCCGTGCCAAATCGTTGCGCTTAACTTTTTAGTTTCTTGCTCCGTATTGGAACACCGCTCCATGTAGCGTCTCCCAACCGACTAAAAAAAATTTAATATTGATTCGTCTGCAGAAATTTTGTCATTTAAGAAAAAAATGGGGCGAATTTTATGTACCAATGCGGACTTGACCTAATGCATCTTATTTTTGTACCTTTGAAAATATTCTTTCTTGCAACTAGACCAGTATTTCCCTAAGTGTGGGTCGCGACCCACTGGTGGGTCGCCGGTAGATTTTTGGTGGGTACTAATTGCCATATAGATCTTTCAATTTTTTGTGTAGATGGGTCGCGGTCCAGACAAAATTGGGAAACACTGAACTAGACCATTAAAAGCATGGTGGTGCAATATGTTCCAAACTGTATTTGGGTAATATTTGTTGACCATTTCGTTCTCAATCTCCACACAAATTTTGAAGCCGATAGCTTAAGGGGTTCCTTAGTTTTTCGGACAAAACAGCGCTCCTCGGAGTCGTTGAATATTTGGTTTAGTGCAACTCGGACCTTATCTGCCACACTTTTTTAACTAAAACTGCCTCAACGGGATTAAAACGCTAACACAGTCTCCAGACTTTAAATTTATTGAACATTTGTGGGAAATTTTGGACTTGGCGATTCAGAAAAGTGAATTTTCCCTCGAAAAGTATCTTAAGATTGCTTCAATGGAGAAGTGGGGTAAAATTCGCGTAAAGACAACTAGAAAAATGTTCAAATCTATGTGAAATTAATTTTAAAGCCCCTTTACAAACAGAATTAAGTTTAAAAAAAAATTATAAATAAATAATTCTTAAAATTAATTAAGTTATATAACATTAAAGTGCTTGCACGAAATAAGCTTGTGCGTCAGAATCGAATTGTTTTGTTTTTTAAATTAGGAAAAACTTTTGTTATTATTTTAATAATATACGAGATTCCTAAAATTACTGCGTTTACATTTTTTTGATATCTTTGCTAGTTTAGTAGCAGTATCGATTTAAAACTTTTTTATTCCTGAACGAAATAAGCTTGGAGCCACTGTACATATGTATGTCTAAATCGATTTGGATGGTAGTGCTGATCAAGAGTTTATATGCTGTATGGGGTCTGATTTACTAAGTTGCTAAGAATATCAATTTTCAATTCAATTTCAAAAATCACATAGCCCGCAAATTATAGAAAATAAATAAATAGTAAAATCGTCATCCCTTCGATGATGTTAGGCATTCATGCATTTCGCTCGACATTCATCAATTCCTTACGATAACAAATACAAAAACCTTTTTTCAGGAGGTCGGATTACTATATCATAAAAACAAATTTGATAAAACGAAGAAAGTATATTTAACTATTCAACTCTTTTAGGTAAAAACTGCAAGCTATTTTTTTTTCGTTACGATAATAAATATGTACATATATAAATGATATTTTTATATCGTGCATATAAATTCGACAAAACAAAGGAAATTTATACATAGCTTTTTTGGTCTAGTCGCTTTTAATTTTAGGCAAAAACTGCAAAGATGTATGTACAATGCATGTACATATGAGAGTCAGAACGCCTAATCTATTTTAAATTTTTTGGACATTCACATTTCTGTTTCTTATTTGCCTAATGAAAAAGTTGTAACAAAAGTAAGAAAACATTAGGGAACCATTAAAATATTTATGTATTGTTGATCAGACTCATCTAAATGACGGATAAACTTTAAGACACGCAAAAATATTTATGTATGTGCAATGCATATCTCTGAGCACATAAATAACACAATTTGATGTTCTAACATTTTTAATACAAAATAAATATTTTTGAATAGAGCAAATTCGTAGATAAATAATAACTTGGGGAGAAGGTGTAGTTTTGTTGAGGATATTATAATTTAATTTGTAGCTTATGTTCTATGCTATATATTTTTGATCAGCAACGAAACAAAAAACAAAAGTTATGTTGTTGTTTTTTTCGTACATGCAAGAATTTAAGTGTGTTTCTGATAATATATTTCATAAGAAACGGACGATTTAAAATTATAGAAAATGTATGAATAAATTCTTATAGCTGCTATGTTGTTTGGAATAGAAATACATATACATATGTTCAAAACATTGGACCTTTTTTTGTAAGCTGCAATAATTTGCGAGGACTAATGATTTTTAAAGTATAACCACCATTTTTTCCGTTCGATAAAACTTTTTGGAGATATTTATTTTTAATTTTTCCGGAGGGGAATATAAAAATAAAATACGATTATGTTTTCATAAATTGAAATATGTCAGAAAATCAGACAATATTTTAAAACTTAAAAAAAAATTTTTCTTATCCAATTTCAAGTTCATTTGAGCAAAATACTGAAAAAAAAGCATTAATATCGTGTTTGTTTACGCAAGGTATCAGAATTATTTCATAAAATTCAAAATAATTTTGACCTTAAAGATTTACGCTTATGTGCCCGCTTTGGTATATTGTATGAAAATGTTAACTAACGTAGAATTTACCTTGTTTGCAACGCCAGTAAAATCAATTCAACAAAATCGCAAGATGAAAATCTTCAGCCTTCCTAAATTTTTTGCGCAAGACCTTGTTGGAGGGTTGGACTAAAGTCTTTATTGCCATTGGCTGCCTCTTTCACTTGGTTTAACATTTCGTCACGTACTTGCAATTTAACGACTGGCAAAAGCAATAGTTGTCCCTTTCTGGCTCATTCGGACTTCCATTAATCTAGAGAGCGAATGAAACAAAACTGACATCGTGCAATGATGACGAAGCTGGGTTCCAACGGGCTGAAATAACCCAAGAGAGAGTTCGGCTTCGGCACAACCCTCCTCGGTTCTTGATCTGGCATTGGCTGGCTAAAGCGAAATGAATAAGCAATATTTTATGTTTGTTTTACTCAACTAAGTATGTAGCCAGTACCAAACACAGCACAGAGTCATCGTTAATAGGAAAAACTTATTCGAGGGCTATCCAGAAGCCATCTGAGGAGTACTCGTCAGTACTGTTCAGACCTCTTATTTCATTTGACGGAATCGTGTCGAGTGGATATTCATAATAAATTCACTGACGTGGGCTTATATGTGTTGAAATTTACATACATACTTGTATTGTGCTAAGAAACAAGAATCAGATGTTACACATTTTCTAAGTGATTTGACACTAAATATTTAGACTTTAACTGTTAGATCTTAAATTATAAACCGCTTAATTTGATTAATTAGGACTGTGTATGGTTATACGTTAAGAACTACACAAGTACATAAAACTAAGTGAGTGCGTTAAAAAAATTTAAACTGATTATAAGTTTAAGTTTAAGTTTAAAAGACAAAAATGAATATTTTTTAATTCCTGAATCGTCTTTAAGTCTACGTATTCTTTTTAAAGCTATCTCTCTGAAACTTATAAAGTTACTGTACATAGAGTATTAAATATGTAAGTCAGAACCGCCCGGATCGGAAAACAATCTACCATAGGAGATATTGAAAAAATAACGGGAAAATAATGATAACACCATTGTTTTTTATAACCTTGCACAGCAAAGGGTTTTGTAATTTCAGTCAAAAGTTTGCAACGCAGTGGAGGAGACACCTCAGACTTTATAAAGTATATATATTCTTGATCAGCATCCCGATCAGAATCCAAATACGTATGTACGTCTGTTTGTCTGTCCTCCTGTCGGTTTCTATATAAACTAGTCCCTCAGTTTTAAAGCTATCTCGTTGAAACTTTCCCAAAAGTTGTGTAGTTGTTGCACGCAGTATATAGGTCGGAACGAGCCGGATCGGGCGACTATATCGGATAGCTCCCATACAAGAGAATGAAATAAATAATTCTTACTCCGTTGTTTTTGATCAGATCGACTTGATTCCTTCCAGATGGCGGTTTCTAACTGCTATTGAATTTCGGATTAAATTTTATCAAAATCGAATAGCTCAAAACATATATATATAAATAATGGAAACAAAATTATAATGTCGTTGTTTTTATAGCCAAGAGCATGATTTTTGGTACAAATTACAATTACAATTACAAATTAAATTTCATCAAAATCGGACGACTATATCATACAGCTGTCATATGAACAATATGGAAAATTAAAAGAAAAATCGTCATAGCTTCGATTCTGTTTAGCCTTTATGTATTTTGTTCGACATATTTAGTGACTGCAAGGGTACACTGCTGGTCTTGGGTTAGACGCACTCAGTTTTTCGAACAAATTTGTTTAATATTTATTATTTTAATGATTATTGAAAAAAAGTGAATATGCAAAAACCTTGGTTATTTAATAATACTTCAATTATAATATTCAAAATATTATAAAAATATAACATTAGTTGTGTTTTCAAACATTTTCTTCAAGCAACTTAAAATAAGGCACATTTTTCTTGGCCAATAGAAAAGACGCACTTAGACATAATATTTTTTTTTTTTTAAGTAACTTATTTTTGTAGTTGGTGTTAATATTTGATTTATTCTTGTTATCACACAGTTATATTTGGAATATAACAAATTATCTAACGAATCTTAAATTTTGTAATTTATAATTAAATTTTGTACACGACCTTGGTCAGATAAATAGCACAAATTGAAAACTATACACATTAGGACAGAGGTTATAGGCTAAAAATAATAAAATAATAATTAGACTACCTCATTACTTATTATTACTGTAAACAAAGAAAAACAAGAAAGGAAGCTAGTTTTGGCAAGCCGAAGCTTATATACCTTGGCAGTAATCAAAGATGTTGAAAAAAATACTTAAAGGCTAAACAACATCGAAGCTATGACGATTTTTCTATTAATTTTCCATATTTACGACTATTGTTCATATGGCAGCTATATGAAAAAATTGTACTATTTAATGCAATTTTATGTGTAATTCAAGTGTCGTTAGATAACTCTATATTCCAAAAATCATGGTTGTCTGATGAAAACCTACGAAGTTATAATTTTTTTTTCATTATTTATATATATTTTTCTCGACCAATCCGATTTTGATACAAATTTTTCCAAAACTCAATAGAAAACGCCATATGGAAGAAAGTCGGTCTGATCAAAAACAACGGCGTGAGAATTTTTTATTTCATTCTCTGTATGGGAGCTATCCGATATAGTCGACGTATTGCGATTCAGATCGTGATGCTTATCAAGAATATATATACTTTATGGGGTCTGAGGTGTCTCCTTCACTGCGTTGCAAATTTCTGGTCAAAATTATAGTACTCTTTGCTCTGCAAGGGTTTTTTAAGAAACCGTACTCCTTTTTCGTCTCTTTTTGGTGCTGAATCCTAAGATTATGTATACCGCTTTACATTTTCGGCTTATCTTTTCCACCAGTGTTTGACAAGAATCCTTAAAGAATGTAAATGTGAAGCGGTCGAGCTTAACGCAAGATTAAACACCAAATAGAGACAAAAAAACCTCCGGATTGGAAATCTTACCAAGCTTCTTACTCACAAATCATCCTAATTTTTAAATAACTTATTATTAATTCTAAATTTTTCTGTACTGGAGAGGTTTACTCTAAGATTCAGTTAAGATCCTTGAGTCGGCAAATCCAAAACCTAAATTTTTTCGTCCTGTAGCCGTTGAGGAAAAAGGTGGCCAAGCCATAATTTTTCGTCCTGCATGATTCATGGTTTTGGTAGTGTAGAAAATCTGTGGTTCAGGAATTGACCTTTACTGTTTACTTTTAATCTTTCGGTGTGTTCGGTCATTTTTCGACTAAATTTTTCCGAATTGCGTTTTTGTTTAAAAAATAATTACATTTCATTACTAATTTAAAGACAGTGCTAACTATTTTTGCAGATAATTTTATAATTTCTACAGTTTCAGCAACGGGTTTTCACTGAGTTGGTAATTTAAGGTAATTTTTGGATGTATTTTTTCACGAAAATAGTTCAATTAAGGATCTACTTTGATAAATATACACAAAAATGTGACCATTTGAAATGGAGACTGATTTGTTCAAGCCCCAATAAAAAGCAATGCCAAAATGAAACAAAAATTTTTTTGACACATTTTGATAAGCAAAAGTACTGAATATATTAAAGCTCAAATAATCCAGAGAATGCTCAATAAAGACCGCAATAACTTGAACTTCAAACAAGTTGTAAAAAATGAATAGAAAAATCGAAAAAACGAATCGAAAGCATTTTTGCATTTAAATCGACATTAAGCAACTCGTTACGATAGCATATATTAAAAAAATAAATATTATTTCTACAAAGATAGGACAACTATATCATAAAGCTGCCATAGAAAAAAGAAAATAACTTTAAATTCGCAAAACTAGCGAAGACCTACTTAGTACACTTTATCCTTGACGTTGTAAGGCTCGAACTAACAACCGAAAGCAGTAGTAAACAAGGGTATATAAGCTTCGTCTCCCCAGCTTAAACAATTTCAAGAATCGTTAGAAAACACTCAACAAGAAAGGAAGGTAACTTCGGCAAGCCGAAGCTTATATACCCTTGCAGTCATTACGTATGTCGAACAAAATACATAATGGCTAAACAACATCGAAGCTATGACGATTCTTCTATTCATTTTCCATATTGTTCATATGACAGCTATATGATATAGTCGTCCGATTTTGATGAAATTTAATTTGTAACTCAAGACTCATTGGAAAACTCTATATTCCAAAAATCATGATTGTCTGATGAAAAACAACGAGGTAATAATTTTATTTCCGTTATTTCTATATAGATTTTTCGATCTTTCCTATGGCAGCTATATGATATAGTACTCCGATTTTTATGAAATTTTTTTCTCGATTTAAGAGTATTTGAAAAACTTGATGTTCCAAAAATCATGCTCGTGGCATTAAAAACAACGGCATTATAATTTTTTTTTTCATTTTATATATATACAGTAGAATCCTGTTATAACGACTCCGCTTATAGTGTCCGTCCGGGTTGTGCGACGAAAACCTGATGGTTTGGTTGGTCCCCATACTAACTTATATGAAAGGTCCTCCGCTTAGAGCGTTTCCGCTTTAAGCGACAAACCGCTTATACGAACGAAATTTTTCAAGAAAATTGGAAAATTTAACCGGATATTACGTCGTGCAGAAAAAAATACATTGCAATAGTGCCAAATTTAGGCATCCAAACACGGTGTGAGAAATGTATGTATTTATTAGTGATCGGCACCCTTGCTTGTGTGCGTAGCAGCGACACGAAGGATCTTTCACTGTCACTACTCTTTGTTAGTTTTAGCTGTCGCCTTAACTACGCTGCTGCGAGAGAGAGAGAGAGAGAGGTGATGCAAGGGTGTAAAAAAACGGCTCATAATTCTGTTTCCTTCATTATACCCTTGCAGAGCAAAGGGTATTATAATTTCAGTCAGAAGTTTGCAACGCAGTGAAGGAGACACCTCAGACCCCATAAAGTATTATATATTATTCTTGATTAGCATCACGAACTGAATCGAAATACGTCTGTACGTTTGTCCGTCGGTCCGTCTGTCCTCCTGTCTGTTTCTATGTAAACTAGTCTCTCAGTTTTAAAGTTATCTTGCTGAAACTTTACCAAAAGTTGTGTAGTTATTGCAGTATATAAATCGGAACGGGCCGGATCGGCCGACTATATCAGATAGTTCCCATACCAGAGAATGAAATAAAAAATTCTCATGTCGTTGTTTTTGATCAGATCGACTTCATTTCTTCCAGATGGCGTTTTCTAACTACTATTGAATTTCGTATTTAAATTTTATCAAAATTAGCTATCATATAGCTGCCATAGGAAAGATCGAAAAATTATAAAGTCGTTGCTTTAAACCCGACGAGCATGATCAAAATATGGATTTTTTTAATAACCCTTGAATCGAGAAAAGCATTTAAGTATTTTGTTCGACATATTTGATGACTGCAAGGGTATACATATATTCGGCAAGCCGACGCTAGCTTCCTTTCCTGTTTTTTTGAGTATTTTCTATGGGAGATATTTACCATGGCGTGATTAATATATGTACTTTATGGGGGACACCTCAGTCTTCTTCACTGCGTTGCCTAAAAATATAGGAAATTAAATTTACCACCAAGGATTTTATCAACTACAACTACCCGATTGAAAATTGAAAAAATTTCACAACAGAGCACACAAATTTTTGCTAAGCAGCAAGATTATTTCATCTTTCAATAAGTACAACTCTTAATTATTTTAATGCTTAACCAGAAATATGTTTAGGGTTTTTATTTTAAAAATGTGTGATGTTTTACAAATATGGTAATTTGTATAGTGAAACACAAAATTGTAAATATGCTTAGTTTAATCGTAGTAAAATTTAAATATAACAATTCTAGTAACTTACAATATCAATGTTTAATTAGTTTTGTTTCTAATCACTTTAACTTTTTATAATATAATTGGTACCTAAAATTCCGGTTGTTTTAATACTGGACGAGGAATATATAAATGTATGTCTATAATACAATAAAATAAACGGATAAAATACTTTTTGTAAGCAAAAAGACGATATATTGTCTCTTTATGCTAATAAAAGCTTGCACTTAAATCATTTACTTTTTAATCTAAATTTCTTAGGTAAGTCTTCCTTCATACTAAGATAAATATTTTTTTTTTTAATTTTAGCATTATTATAACCTTGCACGTTATTCCTCGGCCTTGGCAATATTTCAAAAATGGGGAAAAAAATTCATAAAGAACAACAAAATAATAAGGACAACCTTTTGGAACAATAAATGAAGAAGCTTTGGTTATGAGTTTATCTCAAAAGGACATATTAATTCCTACCGCTATTACCCAGCATCATCAAGTGGATATTTCACCAAAACTACATATAATCGAAACAACCACACAAAATACCGTAGCTACTGCAACCGCTGTTGCGGTTGCACATCACCAACACAATCTCTCAAATATTCACCACCTCCAAAATCTGCATAGTCAGCATCAGAATAATTTATTTAATAGTAATCATTCAACACCATTTAGCGTGACCGATATTCTAAGTCCAATTGAAGAATCCTATCGAAAACTGGAACTTAACGGAAACCCACCATCTCCGTTTCGGTAAATATAACACTTTAATACTATTATTATTACTTCAATTAAAAAAAATTTGATAAGTTTTATTGCAAGATTGAATGTCACCGGTTCAACTTATATACCCTTACAGCGGTTAATACAATTTCCGTCAGATATTTGTAACGCAGTGAAGGAGACACCTCAAATTCCTAAAAGTATAAATCAGCATCACGAACTGAATCGAAATACGCTTGTACGTCTGTCTGTTTCTCTAAAAACTAGTCTCTCAGTTTTTAAACTATCTTGATGAAACTTTACCAAAAGGTGTGTAGTTATTGTACGCAGTATATAATTCGGAACGAGCTGGATCGGCCGACTATATCGGATAGCTCCCATACGAGAGATTGAAAAAAAAGAGCAAAGGGTATTATAATTTCAGTCAGAAGTTTGCAACGCAGTGAAGAAGACACCTCAGACCCCATAAAGTATATATATTCTTGATCAGCATCATGATCAGAATCAAAATACGTATGTCCGTCTGTCCGTCTGTCTGCCTGTCTGTCTGTCTGTCTGTCTGTCTGTCTGTCTGTCTGTCTGTCTGTCTGTCTGTCTGTCTGTCTGTCTGTCTGTCTGTCTGTCTGTCCGTCTGTCCGTTTCTCTTCAAACTAGTCTCCAGTTTTAAAGCTATCTCGCTGAAACTTTCGCAAAAGGCGTGTAGTTATTGCACGCAGTATATAATTCGGAACGGGCCGGATCGGCTGACTATATAGGATAGCTTCCATACGAGACAAAGAATGTTTAGCCTTTATATATTTTGTTCGACATATTTAATGACTGCAAGGGTATATAAGCTTCGGCTTGCCGAAGCTAGCTTTCTTTCTTGTTTTTTGATTATATCGACTTGATTTCTTACTGATGGTGTTTTTCAACTACGATCGAATTTCGAATTAAATTTTATCAAAATCGGATAATCATATTGCTGCCATAGGAAAGATCGAAAAATCTATATAGAAGTAACGGAAATAAAATTGTAACATCGTTGTTTTTAATCAGACAAGCATAATTTTTGCAATACAGAGTTTTCTAACGACTCTTGAATTACGAATTTAATTTTATCAAAATCGGACCACTATATCATATAGCTGCCATATGAACAATAGTCGAAAATATGGAAAACTAATAGAAAAATCGTCATAGCTTCGATGTTGTTTAGCCTTTATGAATTTTTTTCAACATCTTTGATGTCCGCAAGGGTATATAAGCTTCGGCTTGCCTTCTTGTTTTCCATTATTTATATACAGTAGAATCCTGTTATAGCGACTCCGCTTATAGTGTCCGTCCGGGTATTGCGAAAACTCGTCGGTCCCTTGAAAGTCGCTATAAGCGGATTCTACTGTTTATAGTTTTTGATCTTTCCTATGGCAGCTATATGATAGAGTTATCCGATTTTGATAATACTTAATCCGAAATTCAATAGTAGTTAGAAAACGCAATCTTGAAGAAATCAGGACGACCTGATTCTCGGGACATCCAGCCGCAGCAGATAATTAGTTTCTCTAAATGCGAGCTCTTATCTTATCTGCATAGTTACCATCGCTCTCTCTCTCTCTCTATGTTTTCTATCCCTCTCTCGTTGCTTGGTAGCTTCCACTTTGGGTCAGAAATTGGCTGATCCGCTTCTCAATTCGAATGCTTCTTTTCGATCCCGCGGACCATTGTGAATCGCTTTCACCAAAAATAAAATCGCTGCCTTTGCTGTAATCAAAACAAAATTTCGTCTTGTTAATTTCGATAGCTAATAAAAAAGCTTATTAGCTCAACACAATTTTTTATTTCATTCTCTCGTATGGGAGCTATCCGATATAGTCGTCCGATCCAGCCCGTTCCGACTTATAAACTGCGTGCAATAACTACACAACTTTTGGGAATGTTTCAGAAAGATAGCTTAAAAACTGAGAGACTAGTTTGCGTAGAAACAGACAGGTAGACAGGCGGACAGACGGATAGGGTATAAAATGTAGTTTTTTCATTTCCCAAAATCTCGTACCCGATGGCTCTGGGCATGAAATACTGCATTAAAATTTTACTCGACGAATTCAAAAGTATGTAACAGGTAGAAGAAATAACTCGCAACCCCATATAGTATACGTATTCTTGATCGGAGTCATCAAACGTGTCGATCTATGCCTATGTGTGTGTCCTTGTCTCCGTCTGTCTGTCTGTGCGTCCGTATAAACGACTGTATCTTGGTAACTGTTAGAACTTGAATGTGGAGTGTTGGTTCACATTATTTGTTCTGTGTAATTAAACCTCGATATTTTACAAACTTTAAAAAGATAGAATAATGTGCAAAAAAAAGCTGGAACCATGCAGATTCTAGTGATTAATGTCCAATAACCGAATCTCCAATAAACTGTTACATTTTGTGGAGCCCTAAACAAATGAATATTTTTTATTTTGCGACGCCCACAAACAGGACTTTGACTTAATGGCTTAGTTTGTAGTGATAAATTTCGACGAACAAATAAACAATAAAGTAAAGAAATCCAAACAATAATGGCAACTCTGCAGCTTTTTCTCAATAGTGCTTTATTTCGTTGTATGGCCAGAAAAATATCTCCCACTATTTTTTGTCTAGAAACAGAAACTTGCCAGCTAAAAACCCGTGGTTTCTAATAAACTTACGCATATAGTCGAAACTAAAAAAAAGGAGTATACTCTTTATAATACGTTGTATACTGGTTTCAACAGAAAAACATATGATTGACAATTCAGACTATACCACTAGTATATTTTTCTTTCAACGTCTGACATGAATGATTTGGTAAATGTTTGTACGAAAACTTTTAAGTTTTGTATTTCGTAATCTTCCCTATGCGAGTATTTTTAATTTTATTTGTTTTATAAAGTATATATTTGTATACATCTTTTTCTATATAAATAGGTCTAACTCCAGTGGCAGCAGTATAAATTCCCCTGGAACAATACCTACTTCCACTATGGCCAATCCTTACGCAATGGGATCAATATATCATAGTCCAGGAGTTCAAAGCTACTGCGGACCTACCGATAACTTATCTCTCGCTGGTCACTATACTGATATGAGAAGCTCTGCGTCGTGGTACGGATCAACCGCAAATGATCCAAGATTTGCTAGTAAGTTTAAATCTATACACTCATAGTTTTAGCTAAATATGTTAAATCATTTATACTTATTCGTCTTAACTTCCAATGCTGGATAAAACTGACTTTCTCTATTAAACTTACAAATAACTTCTTAAAAAAACGTTAGTTTTGTTGATTTAAAAAAAAATGTATCGGCTGGTTCACTTAATTCCAGGTATGCAGGAATTTGAGAAAATAATTGATTTCTTTTTTTTGTGGTTGTCATTGTTTGTTCAAGAAATGGAAAGATGATTGTCGATTTTTACGTGTATGACCCTACGGTTTTAAGTGGTGCTTGTTGTTCGCTGTTACAAAAACATATAAGTATGTATCTAAATATACGTTTTCTTTTGAATAAATATATTGTTATCAGGTACAAGAAATTGAGATTTTTCGATATAATAATTAAATGACAACATTATTCTTTTTTATTACCTCACAGAGGATATTACAATTTCAGTCAGAAGTTTGCAACGCAATGAGACCCCTCAGATCCCATAAATATGTATATTAAATAACTATATTCTTGATCGGCATCACCATCTCAATCTATAATCTTGTGCAATAAAAACCATCGACGTTTCAAATTTGATTCCATTTATTTTATAAAGACCCAATTATAAGGTTGAGTAGTCAGATTTTTATAAAAATTCGTAAAGAACACCATCTGAGATGGTAAGAAACAGGGGCATGATAGTTTTTTCCCCGTTATTTTTCCGATCTCTTCTATGGAAGCTATCCAACAAAGTTGTCCAAAAATATTAAAAGACAAGAAAGAAAGCTATATACCATTGCAGTCATCAAATATGTCGAACAAAATACATAAAGGCTAAACAACATCAAAGCTCTGATGATATTTGTATTATTTTCCCATACTTTGGGAACTGTTCATATGGCAGCTATATGATAGAGTCGTCCGATTTTGACGAAATTTAATTCGTAATTCGAAATTCCAAATTTCAGTTATTTCTATATAGATTTTTCGATCTTTCCTATGGCAGCTATATGAAAACGTTGTCGTATTTCAATGAAATTTTTTTCTCAATTCAAGGGTTGTTAAAAACTCCATATTTTGAAAATCATGCTCGTGGGATTAAAAACTACGACGTTATAATTTTTTTCCCCATTATTTTTATATATATTTTTCGATCTTTCCTATGGCAGCTATATGATAGAGTTATCCGATTTTGATAAAATTTAATCCGAAATTCGATAATAGTTTGCAAACGCCATCTGGAATAAATCAAGTGTCGATCTGATTAATAACAGCGGCGTGAGAATTTTGTTTTTCATTCTCTCGTATGGGAGCTATCCGATATAGTCGGCCGATCCGGCCCTTTCCGACTTATCTAATATATAAAAATCATCATGTCACAGTTTTTGTGACCTTACTCCTCCGAAACGGCTATACCGATTCTCATGAAATTTTGTGAGCGTATTGAGTAAGTCTGACAATTACCCAACGTCTATTTTTCATCCTCTTAAATCGTGTTCGACATACCAAAAATCGCATATAAAGTGTGTTTCTACCTCATCACACTGACAAAAACACGCTACCATAGCATTTTAAATCAATTTAAACTGGGGCAAAAATCCTTCATCATTAAGTAAAATCATTAATTCTATTTATGAGTGTTTTGTCCAGTGAGCTATGCCAAGAAAACGCAAAGCGGGTACTTTGAGCCGTGATACAAGTAGATCTCGATACATGCGAAATAGAAGATCGGAAAGAATAGCGCTATTGCATCAAGAAGATCCAGAAGATACACGAGCTGAACGCAATGAAGTCAGAGAAGAGCCAGAAGTTACACGAGCTGAACGCAATGAAGTCAGAAGATTAGAACAACGACAACCACGCCGTGTCACAGTCAATAGACGCATAACAAATGACCAACAACGACAACAGGTACAACGATCATTTTTATATCTAATTCATTCCTGCGTCTAGCATTCCAGTATGAGACCGATAATTGGTGTTAGAAATGGATAAGGAATGTCAGCATTGTCATGCTCTGAAATTTAAAAATGAGCCAGCTGGGATGTGTTGCGCGTCAGGAAAAGTGCAACTACCAGAAATTGAAACACCACCTGAACCATTGAACGGCTTACTTATCGGCACGGATCCAGATTCTAACGTGTTCCTGAAGTCAATTCGAACATTTAACAACAGAACAACAGAAATAGTTCGAAATACTAATGCAAATGGTCAAAATTACAATTCTACATTCAAAATTAGAGGCCAAGTTTATCATAAAATGGGCTCACTGCTGCCAATGCCAAATGAACAACATAAATTCTTACAAATCTACTTTATGGGCGGAGAGGATTCCGGAAGCGCACTTGCCAATCGTGTGAATGCACGTTGTGATTATAATAACCTTTATTCATTTTATGCCAGGCGCAATTATAATAACTTAAAAATAATATTTGCCTTTTGTTATTTTTATATTCCCTCATGGTTTATAGCGCTCCAGATGACTTTATAAGTCTAGAACTAAGTAAATTTTGTAGAGAAATTATAAAGTCATCTGGTGGCAAAACAACGTTTGCCGGGTCAGCTAGCATACTATAATTATTAATACCCTTTCCTCTGCAAGCACATATAAGCTTGAATGTATAGTTTTTAACGACTCTTGCATTTTAAATAAAATTCAAGACAATATAGAGCATATCGTCCGTCTTTTTGTCGATCCGCCCGTCCGTCTGTCAGTTTCTGTATAAACTAGTCTCCGCTTTGAAACTATCTCGACGAAACTTAACCAAAGTGTGTAGTAGTTGAAGCAATAAAAAGGCTGGAACGGTCAGGATCCACTATTTCGAAAAAATATTGGGGAAAAAATTATCAAACGGCCATTTTTTCATGAGAATCGGATATTATACAGCTTACATAAGAAAGATCGAAATATCTATATAGTATTAATGATTTGGGATATCAAGATTTTTAACTAAGACTAAATTTATAAAAAAAAATGCCATAAAATCTTATTGTTATGGATGTTGTTATGGCTGTTACTGGAAAGATAAAAAATCTTTATAAAATCATTGAGCAAAATTATAACATTATTGTTTTTTCATAGAGACATGATTTTATATACTTTAATTTTTATTTATTTATTTATGCTCGGGTTATGGGGCAATTGCAAATTACCTCTAACCCATACTTAAGCTATAGCAACTAGGCCTTAAGCTATACATATTAATTATTTACATTTTATTAATATATCTTAAATTAGCATTAAATTTCACTGTACAGTTTTATTCTTTTAAAAAATTTCATGGTGGAGAGTATGTTTTTGGTGTTGGGTACTAGGAGATCTGCTGGGTTTGAGGATGGAGTTTTATTTCTTTCCTCTATGTAAAGAGGACACTCTAATAGGATGTGACGTATCGTTATATTTGAGTTACAGCGTTGACATTGTTGGGGAGGTTGTTTGTTAAATAGGTGTTCTTTTGTTAATCTTGTGTGTCCGAACCTTATTCTAATGAATTTAATCATGTCTAAACGGTTGATGTTATGTTCTGTATTGAAGTTATAATCTTTTAGGGATAATTTATTAGGGTTCATGGCTTTGTAGTGCTCGGATGTCGAATACCATATCGATAAGAGTAATCTTGAGGCAATATTTTTCATCAGCCTCTGTGTATCCTTAAAGTTGTAATTGGTCTCTAGGATTTTTGGGAGGGAATGTGCACCCTTGGCAGCAAAATCTGCCATATCGCTGCCAGTTATGTTTGTGTGACCTGGTATCCACAATAGCAAAATCTTAGGATAGTGATGGTTCAGCATGTCTCTGATTTTAGCGGTATAAAAGGATGTGTTGTTTATATTACGGATTGATTGTAGCGATGATAATGAGTCAGAACAGATGACGAATTTCCGCTTTTGTCTCTCAGCATATTGACAAGCAGCATAAATGGCTGCCACTTCCGCCGTGAATACCGAGCTGTGGGTTGGTAATATAGCAGTTTTTATGATGTGGGTATCGGTAGTGACGCCATAAGTTACGCCTTGATCTGATTTTGAGCCGTCAGTGTAGATGAACAAATAGTCTTCGTACAATTCTTTGATAGACATAAATTTTCTTCGAAATACTGCTAGAGGTGTTGTTGTTTTTAAAGAGGAGTGCAAGGATAGGTTAACTGAGTCTTCCTCAAAGAACCATGGAGGGATTTTTTGTCTGATCGATTTTGGAGGGGGGGAAAGGATTTCATATTCATAGGCGAATTTCATAGCTTTTTGTATGACTGATATAACTTTAGGTTTTCTTTTCGATTTTTTTTTTTTTTTTTAGAATGTTAATATAATATCCAGAATATACATATGTATGTATATACTTGTACTATTTAGGGTCTGAGGTGACTACTTCACTGCGTTGCGAGTTCTGACTAAAATTGTAATACCCTCTGCAAGGATATAAAAAACGGGTATGATATAAAACCATAGGTAAGGTTATATCGGAGTGCCTTGACTATTAGATGCCCGCAACTCAGGTAAACAATGTCAGCACGCGCGCCAACTTAAGAATCACGACGTTCACGCAGACAAAGGGGCTGAAACGCCATGTAGCCTGGTGGGTGTTAAAGTAGGCCTGGAAAATTATTAGGAACGTCATCCGCTACTTAATATCAAAAGCCAAATCACCATTCAAAAATGCTGTGGCTTCAAATCTTTGGACGTCAAAGACTTTCGCGGCTTGTAAAAACGTGGGCTACTTATTTTTAAATTTTTTTCTTTCCTTATAAGCCACTATTTAGTTTGCATGTTTAATGCCAATTCTGCTGAGATTAAAAGTGAGCTTAGGGGCCTCAAAATAAAATTTGCACGTTCACTCCCAATAAAGTAAAGTTCCTTTAGTTCAAGGCTGGCATTTCCTGGGGCTGATGGGAGTAAAAATGGGCGTGCGTATCTTTTAGTAGAATCGAAATATGTCATCCAAGTTTTATTAATATAAAAACTGTTGGAGTGGCACAGCAATTAAACAAGCTTGCCT